AAACTGCACTGCAGAGTGTGGGAAGGAATTATCTAATACAAAGAGAATGATGTAACTTTGTTTGTTCAAAGCGTTGACTCTCCTACAGAAGCTGCTGCTAGTATACATACCTGTCTGTCCGACTCTCCTCCGGCCTCGTCAGCCTTGCTCAGGTAAAACCGCAGCCGGTCTCCATGCTTTTCATTCAGGCTCTCCACAATGTTGAGGGTGCGCTTGCACAGAGCCTGACCCATGGGGTCAAAGAAGACCAGAATTAGGTCACAAAGATCACCTGAGAGCGACAGTGAAAAGGGGCATTATTTACTACTGAGGAAACCCTGTGGATTTATTCTCATCGCATTATAAACTGGGTCGTAATCCCAACAAGTGTGGAATTTCTTTCTATTTCCCTGTTATTTAGTCAAACTAAGAACTTAAACTGCTTAAAGATGTGTCGAAGCATGCAAAGCTGACTCACAAAGCTCACTAGGGTAAATTAAAAGTACTAATGAAGAGATAAAAACTTGACTGATCATTCATTATAATGGAGAGGCCCGCAAGCATCTAAATGACTCCAAATTGAGTGTGCTTTTAGTTTTGTTTGTTTCAGGTATCTTTGGTTTCACAGAGCTACCGCTCTCCTTCTGCATTACCAAAAGAAGATTGCTTAAAACTACCACAAGACAACAGCAGAAACCCACCCAGCCACAGGATGACCTCGTCCACGTCAAACGGATACTTCATATCGCCGTCCACCAAGCCTGGCGAATCAACAAACGTCACCAAGCTGAACCGTTTCTGTCGAGACGTGCAGATCTCTGTGCTCAAGTACTCTGAGACACCTGGGGAAGAATTCAGAAACACAGTTACAGTGAGTGCCTAGCATTAATAAGAACTACTACTCTAAAAGGTTTTCTCTTCCTATTCAACTGGGCGCTTTAATCATTTTTTGTTTGTTTGTTGGTACATACAAATCATTTTAAATGAATTCCAATAAAACGGCAAACTGCCAAAACACTGTCCATAGCAAATCTCTGGGCATATTAAATCTCTCACCTTTAAACTCCTGCAGAGGTTTGAAGTGTGGATACAGGTGAAGGGTGGCGTTTCCCTAAAAAAATAAATGAATAAAGCAGAAGTAGATCTGTCACAGATAGTTTGCAAAAAAGGACATCAGGTACTCCAAGAACATTGAAACCACAAAAGACGAACTCATTTTAGTCCACAGTAATAAATCACTGTTACGAGGAGCAGACAGCTGACATTTTAAAGATGAAATGGCTCACGGTGGGAATGAGACGTGCCTTTTGAAAACACCCATAGCCCTGTCTCAAAA